CTTTTACTAGGTGCCATCAAAAATAAGACTGCCTAAACACTCATCAGAGCCATTTGCATACAGTTGCTATTACTCCAGAGCTTTCAATTAAGTCTCAAAACAGATGCAAATGTGATGACCCAGATAAAAAACAAAAGCACTCATAATTCAACAGTAAGCACATTTGATATCGGGAATTTTTTCACAATACAATAATAAGATGAAAAAGGAACAGATACTAAATTTTATATATAATGATCACAGTTCTGTAAAATAAAACGCTGGGTTTGTACATATACATAAAAATTTAAAAGGAACTACTAAAATGTTAACAGTGGTTATTGTTAGGTAATGGAATAAATGATGATTTTTTTTGTCTTTCAGTATCTATAAAGTTTTTACAATGAGCAGCTATATTTACATAATTCTAGTGAAATTATGATTTAAAAGTATATTTCACAAGTTAAATCACTACTTTATGGTTGACATAAAATGGATTAAAATTTAAACCTGAAATTATACAACAATAAAAATAATAGAAGAAAGCATGACTAAATTTTTAAATCATTGCACACCAGGAAAGAATAAGATGTCATATAACCCAGAAGCCATAAAAGCAAAGACTGATAAAATAGGTATATAATTTTAAAAATCTGCATCAAAAAGAAATTATCAAGAAACTAAAAGACAACCCAGTGTGGTGCACACCTGTAATCCCAGCATTCCAAGAGGCCAAGGCAGTAGGTTCAGAAGTTCAAGTCCAGCCTGGGCAACTTAACAACTTAGCAAGATCTTGTCTCAGAATAAAATATAAAAGGGGCTGGGTACATAGCTCAATGCAAAGATCCTGGATTCAATTCCTAGTACAACAGAGAGCGAGAGAGAGAGAGAGAGAGAGAGAGAATGAGAGAGACAAGAAGTCAAAAGACAAACTTGAAAAAGATAGCAATATATGCAACAGGCCAATAACTAGTTTCCTTGATATATAAAGTGCTCCTACATATCAATAATAAAAGCCAACAACTGAATTAAAAAGTGAGCAATGGATAGCTATAGATAATGAACACAAAAGGACACACACACATCCCTTAAACATATGAAAATGTTCATTTTCACTAATAACTGAAGAGCAAACTGACTCTAGAATGTGTAGAACAACAATAGAGCAATGAGGGGAGTGAAAATGATCAAAGTACAGTTATGTGCATGAACAAATCTGCCAAAATGAAACCCATTAGTTAAAATCCATTTATTGTATTACCAATAAAGAAGAGTGAAAAAAAGAAACACAATATGCTAACTTTAGAGGAAACTGTAAGGAATATAAGAGGGATAATTTGAAAAGGTGTATCTATAATAAACGTTACACTATACCTCATAAATTCAAAACAATATTCAATTGTTATTCATCAAAAAAGAAAGGAAAGAAGAAAACTTTATACTCTCTTCACAGCATTTTTGTAAATCTAAAACTTTTCCAAAGTAAGATATTAATTATTAAAATCTAAAACAGATAAAGAAAGATAAAAACATCTTAATGACAGGTTCTCTTGCAAGAGTATGGGAAAGGAGACATTCCCATAGATTGCTGGTGGAATTAGCAGTTATTTTTATCTCAGTGGGGATAATTTGGCAATTTCTACCAAAACTAAAAATGCACCTACACATTGACCCACAAATTTCCTTTTAGGAGATATAATCCAAAAATCTAATTCACATATAGAAAAAGACTTTTCAAAGGCAGGAATTAGAAGAATGTTTGGAATAGCAAAGGACTGGAAATGAACTACCCATCGTTTAATGAATTACAGTTCATCTATAAAATGAATCAAGCACTTCTACATAAACTAATACTAACTTTCACTAATATATTAAATTTAAAAATTGGGTGTAAGAGTATATAAACTATGCTATTGTTTATATGGCAAAAATGTTTATGCCATTTTTGGAGAATAAACAAAAATTGTTCATGGATATTGTCCCAGGGAAAGAAACTGAACAGCTAGTATTATGAAAGGAGGAAAATATTGATAAGTACTTTTTGAGTTTTTCTTAAATTGTTCATCATTCTTTTATTTTTACTGTCCACATTTTGCACCATGTGTAGATACTACTTATTTGAAAAATATTTTGTTTATTTATTTTTGGTACTGGGAATCAAACTCACAACCTCATGCTTGCCAGGCAAGAGCTGTACTGCTGAGCTATATCCCCAGCCCCTAAAAACTATTTTAAAATGACAAAACCTCACTTAAAAAAGTAGATATAAGGGAAAATAATAGCTCAAAATATCTATGTCCCAACAAGCTTTAGATCAGTATATGAAAGTTTAAACCTGCACCTGGAGGGTAGGGCCCCTGATTCCTCAGAGTATCAGTCTCTTTCCCACTCTTCAGACAGAATATCTGGCACTGGGAACTTAAAGGAAGGAAAATTGATTTTAGCTTTTATTTTCAGTGGGTTCAGTCCATGGTCACCCAGCTCCAAGGCACAAACTGCATGGCAGAACAGGATGGAAAAGAAAACTTCTCACCATCTGGCAGCCAGTGAGCAGAGAGCAAAGAAAGGAGCCAGGGGTAAGAATTCACCCTCCCAGGTCATGCTGCCAGTGATCAGCCCCCTCTGGCCAGGCCTAAATGGGGAATAGTTGGGTGAAATGAAATTTCTAGGGTTACTTATTAAGGAATCACCATACTTATAGTGTATGTACTAGTTTACATCCCCACCAACAAGAATGGGAAAGTGACTGATTAGGGCACTTCTGGGTGACATTTTAGATTTAAACCATAACATTTGGAATATATGGAGAGGTTTTCATGCAAAGGAAAGTTAAAGGTATTCTGACAGTATCTGTAGGTTGATGAGAGCAAGAAAACTCCAGATAGCCCTGCAAATAAAAGAGAAGAAATACTCAGCAAGATTCATGCATAGAAAAAAAAAAAGCTTATACTGTACCTGAAGAAGAAATATGTCATCTGAAAAAAATCTCATAATACTAATGACATTAATGTATATAATAAGAGAAGTTGAAAGGGTAATATTAAGAATTCAACTTTCTACTATATTGGAAATAGATATAGTCGTATTTAAAGCTTTGGTATGCAGCTCGGTGTAGTTCAGTGGTAGAGCACCTACTTAGCATGAGCACTTCCCTAGCATGTGCAAGGCCCTGGGTTTGATCCCCAGCATGACAGGAAAAATAAAATAAAATCTATGGTCCAATTTTTTGATCCAGACTCTGTGTCTGCCACCAAAGGGCAATTTTTAGACTACTTTTTTCCCTATGAACCAACCTGGCACACTTGGGCAAAACTGCATACACCTCATATATACAGTCACCACAGCTCAGCAAGAAGAGCTTTCATTTAGCTGTTTTGGTTTCAGATTGTTTTTTTGTTCTACTGACCCCAGTGCCATGCTGATGAGTCATTTGACAACATCTTTAACTCTAACCTTTGTTATTTATGATCGCCGCCTCCCCACCAAACCTACCCATTCCACCAGCAAAGCAAAGGAAAACAGTAGTCAATCAGAATTACGTTGTCAATTTGGGAGCAGAGAGCAAACAGGCACTAGGGGATATTAGTTAAATATTCTAAATAAGCAAATTAAATATTAATCAAGATATAATGTCATCTCTCACATGGACAATAAGAAGGTAGAGAGGAATAGGTATTAAAAGAAGCCACAAAAATAATCTAACTTCTATAAAACTAATAAAGCAAATTCCCTGAGGTAAGTTCCTGAGAAGCTTTTTAGGTGAGGTGCTGTTTGAAAATGCAAAAAAATCATAGGCAAATGGGAAATACCTAGCATACCCTCTGTGGGCCACGATAAACTATTTAAAAGGGCTGGCAGGATTTCATTTGGCCTCATGAGAACATAGCCTAAGTGAATATGTTGATATACATAGCCCCCAAACGAATCATTTCAAATATGTATTGCATCCTGTCTGCATGTTACACATTAATTATATTGTTCTGCAACTGTTTGCTATTCAGTTTGATTCAGAGTAGGTTGACGCCGATAAGAGCCTTGACATTGTCTCTCCTGACACCTAGTGGTTGAATACCATATTTCATTGTAACTGTAATATTGTCAAAGGATATTTGGGGTAATATTTTTTTGTTTGTTTGTTTTGTTCTGTTCTTACTTTTATTTATTTATTTTTACTAATACATGCTTACAGTACATAATGTTTAAATTCCTTCTGTGGGGTTGATACATACATAAAATATTTTAATTCCTTTTTTAATTCTCTTTTCCTCCCCTCATCCCTCCCTCCGTCACTTGATCCTCTTAACATTTTCGAAAGACTTCCTACTTCCTATTAAGGCCATCATCAAGAAATCAAATAACAGCAAATGCTGGCAAGACTGCAAGGAAGAAAAGAGCCCCTCTACATTGTTGGTGGGCATGTAAACTACTACATACACTATAAGACGGTGATTCCTTAAGAACTAAACCTAGAAATTTCATTTCACCCAACAATTCCCCTTCTAGGTATCTTCCCTAAAAAGTTACAGACATAATATTACAGTGATACATGCATATTCATATTCATAGCAGCACAATTCATGATAGCTAAATCTTGGAAGTGGTCTATAAACTTGAGACATTTATAGGATTAAATGTGGGTAAACTAGTCTCTCTCTCTCATTTTTAAAAGATAATTAAAGATCTTTTGATCCTATTTCAAGGTAGAAAGCAAAATTAAACAAAGCCTACTGGTAGGGCTAAATTACAGTCTTACCTCCAACAAGCGACCACCCTTTTCTGTTTTTCTTAGTATGGCCCTGTAATTCCACAGGCTTTCCTTTTATAGCCGTCCAAGATACCAAGGTCTACAGATCAAAAGGACATGCTCTCTATTTGTTCTCTGATTGCTATAACAATCATATTCTCAGTGACCTACTATTATTGTGCACTTTTGGGAGTCATGTATCCTAATATAGCCAAGGTGTCAATCAAGGATGCATTTCTTGTGGAGGCTCTAAGGGAAAATTCAGTTAGTTACCTTTTCCGGTTTCTAGAAGCAGCCACAATCCTTGGCTCCTGGCTCCAATGGTCCATCTTCACATTTCAGGATATACACCTTAGTCATCCAACCTCCAATGACATAACCACATTTGTTTACCTTGGACCAATGTTCCATTTGAAGTACTCAATTAAATTATAAGAACATTCTTGGAGGTGGAGACAATATTGTGCAGAAGAACATGATCTTAGCCAGGCATGGTAGCATACACCGGTAATCCCAGCACTCGGGAGGCTGAGGCAGGAGGATCATTGCGAGTTTGAGGCCAGCCTGTGCTACAAAGTGAACTCAAGGCCAGCCTGAACTGCATAGTGAAACCTTGCCTCAAAAAGACAAAAAAAAAAAGGAGAAAAGGAAGAAGAACATGATCTTTAGCCCTTAAGAGCTGTGATTTTGAGTTGGTAGTTTTTGAGGTTTATAGGATATTTTACTGGGACTTAGGAAATATGACCCTTATTTCTCATAACTGGGCACTTAACTGGAATAAACAACTAATACGTAAAGATACCCAGAGGTTCTATTCCCAACTCCCAACCATTCCCCTAATTATTTTTCTCACTTATACTGAGGAATAAATGATCAATAAAATGATATAATACAATGTACTCCTTCCCCTAATTATTTTTGATGACTGGATGAAAGGCATGGTATAAAAAGCCATTTATACAAAAAATGGAGAAAAGACAATATATAAATAATCACAGGAAAAGATGATATTGAAACTTAATGCAAATAAAAGAATTATCCATATAATTTATGACCCTTTCTAGAAGACATACCTTGATAAGAAGAGGAAGGAGGAATCACAATGTCTGAAAGGATGGGGGTTTAAAGTTGTAGCGAGGAGAGGCCAGGGGTATCCACTACCAATGGCCTGCTTCATAATGATATAGATGGCTGGCTCTGTATGGAGAAATGGGTTTTGAAAAGATCACCAGAAATGGTATGACAAGTACAAAAAACACTTATTGTTCCCAAGATAGTAACTCTGAAGACAAGTATTATGTGAGGCTACATTTACTTGCCTCTCGAGGTAGTCCCTTTCACAAGACTTACACCCATCCCTCAGCTGTATACCTTCCTGGTAAAGCAGCACTAGGAATGGAAAGGAATGATGAGCCCTTCAACTAAAGGGGAAAGCAGTGTGGGCCAGAGTGGCCACACAGAACGAGCCAGTGCTCATTACAGTGCTGGAGACTGAAAATCAAGAAGTTGAAGTCACTGGTTTCTTTGTAAGAAAAATTCAACTCCTGCAGGACAGGAGACCCTCACTGAGTACAGCATGTGGCAAACTCTAATCAAAACACAAGCTGTCATCTGGCTGAAATGAAGTCAACATGGAAAAGGGGGGAATTTTCTTCTATCCTTGGAATGTCTCTTAGTAAATGAGTGCCTCAGTGGCCTTAGAAAGAAGCAACGCTTCTTTCCCAAAGCCTAATGGCTACCAAAACACAAGGGTCCCAGCTTCCAAAACATCATGAGATCTTTCGGCAACCCAAAGGAGAGACATCTATTTTGTACATAATCTGAAAGGCTTTGAGACCCTATTGGGAACTGAGTTCTGGGATAATTTAAATGGGAGAATGTGCAGTTTCAGTTTATCCAACTTTTTCATAGACCAAGAGTCATGGGGCCCATTAGTATAAGAAAGCAATCAACACTGAATAAGCAGTATGGATCCAGTCTGCGCTATTTATTCCACACTGCGACATTCATTATTCAAAAAATGAGTGGCAACTCTGCAATCCAGAATGCAGCTGAGCCTCTAGGTTTTTTTTGTTTGTTTGTTTGGTTGGTTTTTCTCCGGTACCGAGAACCGAACTCACTACCTTGCGCTTGCCAGGCAGGGGCTTTGCCACTGAGCTAAATCCCCAGCCCCTGAGCCTCTAGGTAATAAAGGTGAACAAATGGTTGACAAAGGACATACATTGCAAGAGAAAAGGGAAGACATCCAAAAATAGAACAAAAAATAGAGGGTGCTATAAAAGCAATATGAACAAGGTGTACACAATACTAGAAAAAGCAGAGATTATTTCTGCTTGGCAAGCAAGGGAGGAGAAACAAGGAAAGGACTGTGATTTTGTTTAGTTCTGTTTTTTTTTTTTTTTTTTTTTTTTTTTTTAGGCAGGTCTCACTATATAGTTCAGGCTGGCCTTGAACACCCTTATGTAGCTAAGACTGGCCTCAAACTCAGGGTAATCCTCCTGCCTCAGCCTCCTTACAGGCATGCACCATCACATACCCAGCAAAACAAGGAAAGGATTAACTCAGGAGGAAGTTGCTTTTGAGCTGGAACTCTCAAAGCTGGAAATACTCTATGTGAGCAGATTTTATTCTTTTATGTTTTTACCCCCTTACTTCAGTGAAGGTAGTTCTGGGCCAGCCCCATTTTGTGAACCATCTTCCTATACTCACATGCGTAAAGCATTGACTTCATTGTTAGACTGTTTCCACCTGCCAACTCTTACTGCTAGCTTCCCTAGCTACCACCCCCCCGCACACATCTCCTACCTCTTGACACTTAAAATCACCTGTTACAAATACTGGCAAGGCTGCAGGGGAAAAAGGAATGTTGGTGGTGGTACTGTAAATTAGTATAACCACAATGGAAATCAGTACAGAAATTTCTCAAAAAAAACAAAAAAAAACTAACACAGAAATTCCATTTGACCCAACTATTCATTCCCCTTCTAGGTATCTTCCCCTAAAAGTTAAATACATCATATTGGATCTGACATAGCTGACTAGAGAAGCTGTACCAGAGGTGCTCAAAAAGGATTCATTAAAGTCACAAGTACACTATAGTAGAGAAAGGCTTCACACCCTGAACCAAAAAATTAGTTGGGAAGATGATACATGTAGATCAAACCTAACAACTGGATCACTGGAGGGGGCAGCGGAGCCAAAGTAGCACTGCACCTCCAGGCAGCAGCCATTATGAGAGTGTTCTGAGGGAAGGAATGAACAAAGGAGCACTGAGGAGGGTGGATTCCTCAGTGAGAGAATCGTATGTATCAGCCCCTTTGTCCCATCATCTCTTCCAAGCACCAGGGAACACTGCAGCCCAGTGGCATCCTCACCAGCAATCACCAAAGGCAAAAGAACATCCCCTTACCCAGGTGTACAGAGGACAAATGGGCAAAAAGAGACAGTGGGTCCCTGTGGGCCTCACCCCAACCTACAGAACCTGTGGTCATCCACCTGAGAGTATCTCCTGTTCCCACAGTTACACATCAATCATGTGTCTCCTGCAGACCTCCCCACTGGTGTGTGAAAGCATCTGTGAATTCCTGAGGACTCTCATCCTGGCACGAGTATGCCCCCAACTCAGTGGTCCCTTGCCTGCAAGTGAACCTGCCTGCAGTTTCCGCCATTATGCCAGGGAGGGGGCTCCTAAGTGAAGACCAGGGAGAGTATAAGGTTCTGTTATGAGTCGGCAGACAGAATTCCTGAGGTTAGGTTTGTTTGGGTTTTGAAATACAAAAGAAAGGTGATTTTGCTGTAGCTGCAGGCGGTAAACCCGCAAACAAGGCAAGAAAGGAAGTGCGAACACTCAGGCTTTTTGCCAAAGCAGTCACATGCACATTCTCTTGTTGGAGTATTTCAACTGGTTACTGCTGGATTTTTTTTTTTTTTTGCTTTGATTTACTTGATGTTTATTTTCCCTCCCTTTTCTTGTCACCCTAACCATAACAATAATATATTCTTATTTTTGGTTTACCCCACTTTATAAATTCTTCCTGTGAAATTCTTACGTTGCCATATTCTACTCTCTGTCAGTCACTCCTAGCTTCTCCTGTATTAACCTTCTGTCTTCTTTATTCTGTTCCTTTGGCTCTTTCTGATCTTATCCAGCCCCTCATCTTCCCTTGCTTCTTTTTCACTTGAAAGGTGCACAAATAGATCAACAGGTTCTGACAGTCTCATAGCTCCTCAATCCCTAAGTACACTTCCCTACTGCTACATCTCCTCCTCACCCCCAGAAATGTCTTTTGAACCCCTCAACACTAAACCTTTAATCTGAATAAAGAACCTGCAACAGAATCTGAGCCCATATCTATTTTTTCACCTATTACTCTTCCTCCTATATACGTGCCCCCATAGACTTATGCTGCTCTTTCACACATCCTTTAATCTCTCTCTTCTAATTCTCCTCCCACATCATAGAATAACTGCTAAGAACACTTGAATATAGGCTGCAAAGAGGATTAATAAAGGATAAAGGTGTAAATGCAAGGTCTATCACATATGTGACATGTGATAGCATATGTAGCTGCTATTATAATGTAAAGCAATTCCTCAAAACACAGGGACAGAGTCCAAACCACTTAAATTAAATAGCTGATGGAACAAATAATATCTCTGGATAAATAACGCTGGAAACACACCACAGGAAGGCACTATCTTACCAAAAAGACCTTCATATAACTTACAAGCCCTCATTCTACTTGAACTTGACCTGCAGCAACAAGAAAAGGGAAAACAAACAAACACAAAAAGATATACATACATACAGGAACATGAAAAAGCAAGGCAACACAAGACCATAAAGGTATGCCAACTCTCCCCAGGCAGATGCAGAGGCCACAAATGGAGAGGAAAGCAAACACCAGATAGAAGTCTAAGAATTGATTAAAGAAGAGTAAAAGAAACTTGATGTGTTCAAAGAAAATATGACCCAAAAGTCTATCATAGGAAATGACCAATGTGGATTTGAACAAATACAAAATTGGAAGAGCTGGCCAAAATGATTCAAAACATAAAATGATGAGGTTACCAAATATATAGAATCCACAAAAGGTATCAGACAGAAATACAGGATATAAAAAAACTCTATGGAGTCCACAAATTACTGACATTATCAATGTGAAGATAGTTTCTGAAATCAAGGACAAAATAGAAAATTATGATGTATTACTCAGTGAAGCCTCCAAAAATAAGTAAAGAAGAAAAATTCATCCAACAGCTCCCAGAAAACTCTAAGAAGGCCAACCCAAGGCTAATTAGAGATAGAGAGAAATCAGAGGATAGCACATCTGGAATAATCAGCTTGTCTAGAGAAATCATAATGGAAAACTTCCCTAACACAAGAAAAGAATTCAACATACAAGTAAGCAAGGCTTATAGAACACGAACCAACTACGATGAAAAAAGAAGCTCCCCAAAACACATTATAATTAAGGTGGCTAATGTTGACAAAAAACTGGTCAGAGAAAAGCAAACAATCACATGTAAGGTTATACCCATTAGAATTACAGCAGACTTCTCCACCCAAATTTCAAGGCCAGAAGAGCTTTGAGTAAAGTATTTCAAGCCCTAAAAGCAAACAACTTCTAACCCAGATTAACATATCTGGCAAAATTTTCCTTCAAACAAGGTGGAAAATAGTGACATTTCATGAAAAAGAATAGCTCAAGATGTTTATGAAACCAAACCAACACTCCAAAACATACTCAATATCCTAGACAGATATGATGAAACTGAGAAAGCTGAAAATCAAGATGGAATGAATACATAAGCAACAGATAGTAGAATAGATAAAAAAATGAAATTAAAAACAAAGGGATCATAAAAAGTCCAATGATAGAAAGAAGTTCATACCTTTTGGTAACAACTTGCAGTGTTAATGACTTCAACTCTCCAATTAAAAGACACAGATTGGCAAGCTGGATCAAAAAACAGAATCCAACAGTCTGATGCACCCAAGAAACTCATCTAATACAAAAATATATTCATAGACTAAACATTGAAGGATGGAAAACAAGATTTCAAGCGCCAGGACCTCCAAAGCAAGTAGAGGTAGCAATTTTCCTCTCAGACAAAGTAAACTTCAAGCTAATACTAATCAGAAGAGACAAAAGATGATTACATACTAGTTAAAGGAATAACTCAAAAAGAGGAAATAAATTCTGTAAATGTATATGCACTGAATACTGGAGGATCTACCATCATAAAACAAATACTTCCACATATAAAAGATCAAATAACCACTAGTATAATTATAATAGGTCATCTCAATACCCCACTTTTGCAAAGAGATGGATCAACAAAACAATCAGAAAAGAAGTATCAGAGCTGAAGTACACCCTTGAACATATGGACCTAATAGATATCTCAAGAGTGTTCTACACTACCACAACAGAGTACAAATTCTTCTCTAAAGCACAGTAACATTCTCCAAAACAGATCACTTACTAGACCACGAAGCCTATTTAAATAAATATAAAGGAATCAAAATCACCCCATGTTTACTATCAGACCATTGTACAATGAAACTGGAAGTCAACCACAGGGAAAAGCCACAGAAAGTTTAGAAACATCTGGAAACTTAGTAACCCACTTTAGAATACCAAATGGGTCACAGAAAACATCAAGGAAGAAATTAAACAGTTTCTGGAAGTAAACGCCAATGCCAATAAAGCACACCAGAACCTATGAGACACAAAGAAAGCAGTCTGAAGAAGGAAGCCCATTGCAATCAAAGATCATATTAGAAAAAAAGGGCACACACAAGTATGTGTACTAAACTAAAATAAAAATGGATCAAAGATCTAAACATTAAACAATGTTTCTAAACAGAAACAATTATCTTCTTAGAAGATAAAATAGGTAAAACTCTTGAAGTCATAGGTGTAGTCAGGGACTTTCTGAACAGAACTCAAATTGCCAAAAAACCAAACCAATAAAAATAAACAAATGGAATTATATGAAAGTTAAAAGCTTCTGCACAGCAAAGGAAATAAGTAGTATAGTGAAGACAGAACCTACAAAATGGGAGAAAAACATTGCCAGTTACAACTCAGAAAAGGGACTAATACCTAAAATATACAAAGAACTAAAAAATATAGACACCCTCTAAAATAAATGATCCAATCAAAACATGGGCAAGTGCCAAGAACAGACATTTCTCAGAAGAAGGAGCACAAATAGCCAATAAATATATGCAAAAATGTTCAACATCTCTGGCTGTTAGAGAAACAGAAATTAAAGCAATGTAAAGATCACATCTTACACAAGAAAGAATAGCAATGATCAAGACATCAAATACAACTTGAGAACATAACGTTAACTGAAATACGTCAGACACAGAAGCTCAAATGTCATGTGGTTTCTCTTATATGAGACACTATTTATATACAAATAAAGAGCAAAATAGAAGAGAGATAGGAAGTAGGAACAAATTCAAATGCTTCCCCAAATTACATATTCCATTGTTATAAACATATTTCAATATATATGTGAATTGTTTCATTCATACTAATAGTTTATCTTAGTTGAAAAGAAAGTTTGTGTTTTATGTTTCCTTCTTGTGAGAATCTTTTTGGTTTATGTCTCATACTGAGTAATTACTTTGGAGATAACAGTATGCAATGTCATAACTATTGTTATTCTTTTATTATTTGGTCATGAAATTTTTTTTCATTAAAAGGTTTGTAATAATAAGCTTTAAAACATTTCTGAAGTGTGTGTGTGTGTGTGTGTGTGTGTGTGTGTGTGTATTAGGATTTCAGCATACAAATATGCCTGTATGTGGCCCACATTGGAATAGCAAGTCTCAGAATGAAATTAACTCATTGATGCATTAGTTGGAGGGATTAAGAGCAACTTCATTTTTTTATTTTCCAAACATTCTTCAATGTCAAAAGCTCTTTAAGAGTTACAGTGTGGATAATTAAAAATAAATATTGGGTGCATTAAAAAAAGAAATCAAATAATAACAAATGCTGGTAAGCGGACTGTGAAAAAGGAATCTTCATATGTTGATAGTGGAAATGTAAACTAGTAAAACCATTTATAAACTAGTACAGGCATGATGGAAATCAATATGGGGATTTCTCAAAGAACTGAAATTAGAAATTCCATTTGACCCAGCTATTCCCGTGCTAGGTATCAACCCAAAAGAGCTACAGATGTCATATTCCAAACATGTATACCAATATTTATAGCAGCACAGTTCATAATAGCTAAACCCTAAAAATAACCTGTATGTCCATCAACAGATAAACAGATAAAGAAAATGTGATATCTATACGTAATACAGTACTGCTCAGCTATAAAGAAGGATAAATTTGAGACATTTGAAGGAAAACAGATACAACTGGAAAATACAATGTTAAGTGAAATAAATTAGACATGCAAATTTAAATACCATATGGCATCTCTTGTTCGTGTAAGACAAAGCACAAATAAAGAGCAAAATAAAGGATTGATAGAAGGAAACAGAGAGACAATGTTTTGAAAATAAGAAGTGGTCCAGGCTACCAAGGGTGAGGGGAAAGGGAAGTAAATAGATTTAAGATGTGTCATGTACATATACCAAATACCCATGATGAATATATGCATAATAGATCATAAACATGAAATTTAAAATAATAACAATAATAATGAAAATGTGTAAAGGGGATTTAGAGATGCATGGAGGGAGATGAGTGTGGAGGTGGAAGGGGTTAAATACAATCAAGATTTGTTGTGTACATGTATTTATTCCCTAAGACAGATGTGAATTTCATGTACTGCAAAGATGTACAAATAAAATTTAAAAATTAAAAAATTAAGACATCATACTGCAGTGATACATGCATACCCAAGTTTATGGCAGCTCAATTCATAATAGCTAAATTGTGCAACCAGCCTATATGTTCATAAACAGATGAATGAATAAAGAAAGTGTGACATTTATACATAATGGAGTACTATTCTACTATAAAGAAGAATGAATTTGAGCCACTTGCAGATAAATGTATGGACCTGAGATTGTCATGTTACGTGAAATACGTAAGACACACAATCTGAAATATCACGTGGTTTCTCATGTGACAAGCCCAAAGCATAAATAATTAAAGAACAAAATAAAAATAGGCAACAGGAAACAGATATAGATGTTTCAAATGGGAAAGGGACCAAGAGACGGAGGGAAAAGGGAATAGAGAAGAAGAGCATATAAAAAGAATTAAGATGTGTTATGTACAGGTACCAACTCCCCAAGATTAACGTAATCATTATATACTGCAAATATGTACCAATAATTTAAAATTGAAAATATTACCTGTTGGGGGCTGGGGATTTAGTTCACTGGCACAGCGCCTGCCTGGCAAGCGTGAGGTTGTGAGTTCGATTCCTGGTACCGGAAAAAAACTAAAAAAAAAAAAAAAAGAAAATATTACCTGTTGCAACAGTAACTATTTGCTGCATTATATGTTTTTTGGGTTTTTTTTTTGTACTAGGAATTGAACTCAGGACCTTGTGCTTGCCCGGCAGGCGCTTATGCCACTGAGCTATATCCCTGGCCCCTTGGTACATTATTATGAAGACTAAATCTAGACCCATTTCTTTCACCATATATTAAGCTAATATCAAAAGGAACTAAGATCTAAATAGTAAAACAGAAACACTATGCTGGGTGTGGTGGTGCAGCCTGTAATCCCCGCACTTGGGAGGCTGAGGCAGAAGGATTGTTGTGAGTTCGAGCCCAGCCTGGGCTACAAAGTGAGCTCAAGGCCAGCCTGAACTGCATAGCAAGACCCTGTCTCAAAAAGACTAAATAAATAAATAAATCAGAAACACTTAACCTGCTAGAAGATAAAGTAGGTAAAACTCTTCAAGTCATAGGTATAGTTAAGGCCTTTCTTGAAAGAAGTCCAATTCCACAAGAAATAACACCAAGTCAAAATGAAACTGGTGTGGTATATAGCTAGATGTCCCACAAAGCCTCATAGATGAGGTTTTGGGAAGTTGACTGGGTGATGGGGTGTGATACTCATTAGTGCATTAGTCCCACTAATGAGATTATAGGTGAGTGTGATGTTGGGAGGTGAAGTCTAGTTGACAGACGTTCACTACATGTGTGAGACAGGGTTTCACTATGCAGTTCAGGCTCGCCTTGAACTCATTTTGTAGCTCAGGCTGGTCTTGAACTCACAGCCATCCTTCTTCCTTAGCCTCCTGAGTGCTAGGATTATAGGTGTGTGCCACCATGCCTGGCCACCCTTATCTTTTTTCCATTATATAGATCTAGCAAAAATGTGTAGGCTTCCTGTCTATTTCATTTTTGGGAACACTGTGGTTAATCAGCCAATAGGTCTTACACATATCAAACCATTCTGATCATTGTCCTACTTCTGCTGTCCGTTATGTTAAGTATGTGCATTTTGCCTTTGCTAATTAAATTCTGCCACTTGATCCCTACTACTCCAGGGTCCAATTAAATCCACTGTCCTTAAGTTTCCCAATTTACTATCCATGGTCTCCACTGTGAGGTCTGGCATACAGAGAGCAGTGATAGGGCTCTTCAGGGATACTGGTGCTCCCTTCACAAAACTGTTTCTCAAGGGGTTAGTAAAGGGTACGTTTTCTGGCTCATCCCAGTGTGGTGGATTAGGTTTAACAAGACAAATGTACTCCAGTAGTCCCATTTCCTTAAGCCTCTGAATCCCCCCATCCACAGTAAACCATGGACTACTGAGTATCTCTATCTCATTCACAGTGGGAGTGTTTTTTGATCCATACTTGCAATCAGCCGAATACATTGTTAGCACCTTTTTTTCTTGCTCTCTCCATGAGCAGTACCATTAAATTCAGAACCTCCATTTCATGGGCCCATATAAACAAACAGCCTGATCCAGATGTATGTTTTTGCCACCATTATCCCTCACCATAAAACCCATTCCCACACTTGCTCATCAGGCTTTTGCTTATAAGAATCAGAAAACTCAAGAAATTGTTTGGGAGAATAGCGGACCTCCTCATGAGTCACACTTTGTATGTCATCCCCCGGAGCCTTCTGTAATTGCAGCCTGGTTATAAGCCTAAAGGCAAAAGTGAGTGGGGAGGGTGGGTCCTGAGGAGTGTCAGCATTACCTGTTTGGTCAATACAGGATTAGTTTCCTCATGTATATTAGAAGACAGCACTACATGAAATGGGGGTGGGGATGCCTCTGTTCCTATGGGTGGGGAAATTTCTTCTCCTGGCAAAATAATCTTCTTACAGTCTAGGAGCTCAACATTCTTAGCCTCTTTAAGGTCCTCTAGAACATCTCCATCCCAATTTATGGGATACTAATCTTTTCCTATCAGTGTCATCACCATTACTTCAGATACCCCTAGAGGCTGAGCATTAAACTTACTCTGTATTTCAGCCAATCAAACTATGAGCGAATATGTTTGGGTTTCTGTAATCTTAGCCCTACAGCTAAAGGAGAGCATTCTCCTTCAGGACACACTTAGAAACTTTTAAATTCTTTAGATGTGTCTGGAGCTGAGAATTTGAACCCTTAAGCTCTTTATTTTTCTTCATTAATTTGTCCTCACGGAAGACTTTAGACTTCCTATGGATGTTTTGAGCTCATTGTTTTCCTTTACTAGTTTGTCCACAGATGCTAAGAGCAATCAGCCAGCATCATTATATTTCCCACTCTGCCAAAAATATTCAAAAGTAGTATATATGGAGTCACTGAATTCCTTACATCTCACAAGTGGTGAATTAGGATAGTCAAATGGATCTACAATGCATATTACTTTAAACAGTTCACAGCAAGTACTAAAAGTATTCCCCACAGTATTCAGAAGGAGACCATAGCATCTTTAGGGTTTATCAAATTAGCCAACTCCAGAAACTACTAAATCTAGTAGAGAATCTCAACTTTACAATTGTATTTCTCCAGGGCCACTCCCAGTACAAAATCTGCATCAGTCATTGCTTACTAGAGAAACAGATTTAATACAAATATATAAGAATTTACAAGATTGATTTACAGTGGCTGCCCCCAGAGTCGGGTGTGAAAAGGTGATAAAGGACTGTCTTTGTACTGGAAATCCAAAGGATCCAGTCAAAGTCCTGGAGCTCACTGTAGTGTCCCATGCAAGTCTGTATCAGGAGGCTGATGGGTCTTCACTGAAAGTCAGGAGATGACATCCAAGGTGAAGGTGAAGACTGGAGCTCCGCCAAAGAAACTGAAACAAGTCTTCTTTCTTCCTTTCCTTTTTATTCCATTCATACAGCAAGCCTATTGGTCAGTACCACTCACACTCAGAGTGGGTCTTCTGTCTTCAGTGAATCCCTTCAGCCACACCCAGAACTACACTGAGCCAATTTGGTTGGGCATTTCTTACTTAAATTGTCACAATAAGTTAACTATCTCAATGACAGGGTGATGAGAAGAGGGGGCTTGAGATTGAAGAAGTGAGTAAGGCTGAGTATGTGGCCATAGCAATGGGCACAATGACTAGCAGATGGGGTGTGTGTGTCAGTCTTAGCAGAGTAGGCCTTATTCCTAGGCGGGGGCGGGGGGGTGTTCAGGATGAAGGAATGGACCGTGATTGTTCTCAGAGGTCAGGTGGGTGGGGCTGCAGGATGTAAGAGTGGGCTGTCATTATTCTCACAACTCAGGAACTCCAGTTGGGGGGAAGGGTGCATATGGGAGTCAGACCTATCATTTCCTGGGTGTTAAGGATAATGGAGAAACAATGAGGTAAGGAGTCAGGTATGGGGACACGGGTCTTTATCAAGCTGGGGTGACCGGTAGTGGCCACTTGAGAGGTGAAGCAAGACATCTCTGTTTGGAAAAAGCTAGAGGGGTCTGAAGGAGACAAGGGGCAAATGGGATTAGGAGTACTGACACAATGGGCCCAAGAGGGGGTATGAGCCAGGAGTTCCAGAAAGTGCTCAGCTAGCCAGGAAGGGTCTGGACAAGGCTTGAGTTTTGTAGGGTGGTGGCTTGATCGTGTAGCCTTTTTTGGACTTGTTGGAGGAGAAACAGCAGTACTCTTGGAGAAAGGCACAGAGCCCACCTTTTTTTGTGGTGACCAAGTTTAGTCCTGTGCAGTTTTGGAGCACGACAGCAGCCAGCAAGTAAAGTCAGTTTTTCAGGTTAGTGAGTTCAATAGACAGGGCAGAGAAATGGTGAAAGGGAGGGAAAGTTTAGTTAGGCAAGGCAGATGGCAGGGGGCCTTAAGTTTTGGGCAACAACAGATCTGTGTACAACAGAGCAGTGAATTTTATTTTTTCTTGGCTGAGAAGTGAGGGCTGACACGAACTTGGCAAGGCCCTTTGGTTCTGGAGGCACCGCTGTTAGGGAGTTAATTTGGTCTTGAAAGTTGGAGAGTTTGGTGAATATTTGTTTGAGAGAGTGAGAGCTGAGAAATGGTTAATGGAGACTTTTAGTTTGGCTGGCCTGGTACCAACAGCAGTGGCTATACTGATTCCTGTCTGGAGGGTAATAAACTGAACTTTCCAAGAAAATCATTTTTTTTATGGGTAATATGCTGGCTGGATTAATAGAAAGTGCAGGCAAAAGGTCAAGAAGCTGATGTGGGCTGGGGTAAACTCAATGAAGGTATCTTGGAGCAAGAGGTGAGTGACTATTTTGGGAAGTGAAGCTGAGGTTGAAGGAAAGGCTTGTATGAGGGAAAGGGGAAAGCGAGCAAGTACAGGGAGTGAGAGTCATGAGAATGATGGGTAGTTTTCTGGGACAGACCTGCAGGAAGGAGCCTTGGAAAAACCCGACATATGAGGGATTTAAAGTAGTAAGAAAGGTAGGGTGGAAGGGCAGCAGGGAACAGGGGTGATAGCAGGCCTTGTTGGCTGGGAGTAAAGGGCAGAGGGAATAATGAGTGTAAAGGCTGAGGAAGGACAGAGTCAGTGTGCATTTGCAGGAAGGTTTGAATGGCCTAACATGACTGGGAGTGACCTCCTAGGGAATGAGTGGGGGCCATGGGGCCCAGAAGGAAGGTGCAACCATCAGACAAGGGATCCTATAGTTCAATGGCTGACATTTGGAAACAAAGGAAATAGAGGGAGGTGACTTGGATCTTCTGTAGTCTGGGTGAGAGTGAGAAGGCTGGGAGGAAGCCAGGATAAGCACTTGGGTTATGGTTGTGAGTTTTGTCTGTTGTGAGGTGGTTCTGAGGGGAGTGATTGAGGCTCCATTATGTGTCTGAAGTCAGAGCGCTCTGCCCACTGGTGGTTTGGAAAGAGTTTTTATCTATGACTCAGGTATTGGCTGTGATGGGATGGGGTTTTTATGCATACTGGGAAAATGGTTGAGATCACAGTGGATGGTTTGAAGGCTTCTGCGAATGATATCCTGAGC